GTTTAGGGTGTAGGTTTTAGGGGTTTGGGGTTTAGGGCTTTAGGGGTTTAAGGGTTTAGGGTTTAGGGGTTTAGGGGTTTAGGGTTTAGAGGTTTAGGTTTTAGGGGTTTAAGGGTTTAGGGTTTAGTGGTTTAGGGGTTTAGGGCCTTTGGGGTTCAAGGTTTAGTATCAGGCTGTGACATATGGATGCGGACAAGACATCAAGGCTTGAACAAGCCGACGGTTCAGGGTTACGAGTGTAGGTGTTTAGGGGTAGTAACTGAGATCCTGTTAATGTAGGGGCCTTATAATACTTAGGATAGGGGTTTGCGGTTCCTTCATAGCTTAAAAATAGAACACGGAACCCTAAAATATTATTGGTAATTATTTAGGCGTCTGAATCAGTATGGCAATGGTAAGTGCGGCTCAGGGCCGTTTAGCAGTTTCGGGTTTAATTCGGTGCTTAGGGCTTACAGTGACTCTAGACTCAGTCTAGTTCCAGGTGTGTACCTAGTGCTATGACCTTCAACCTCAACTGCCAGCAAGCGTTTCGGGAGTCGGGTTTTGTTCAATGGCGAATCAAACAACTGCAAACACCCGATGTAAATCCCTGATTCATAAAGCCTCCCTCTCTCGAAACGGCTTCTAACAAGGAGCGGCCCGCAAAAGTAAGTCCTAAATCCCAGCATGCAAATTTTCTGTGCCGCCAGTTGCATGTGTAGCAACACTACCGCATATGTTTCACAACGACGACTGTCCTCTCGGTTTACCTCTCTCGCTCTCTGCCTCCCTCTTTCCCTCCCTTCCTCCATTTTGTGCTGACACACAAACCCCAAACCTTAAACCCTAACACGACTGGGAACATGAAGAAAACAACACCATCGCACAGAGCGTGCTGATGGACCACATTCTGCTTCACCTCACGAACCCGAAGAAGGGGAACTTTGGTCTCTTCCGGTGTGTTTTAGCCTGTTTTCGGGTTTGGAGTGTAGAATATCTTCCTCACGGCGGACATTATATTCCGGTGTCTTCGTGTTTTTCTTAGGGATTGGGGTTTAGGGAACGTCTTCCTTATGGCGGACTGTGCAGGATTTCGTCCATCAGCGGCATCCTTATCCCAGGGGTTCTGTTGGGGTTTAGGGTTTAGGGGTTAAGGCTAAACCCTAAACCCTAAACCCTAAACCCTAAACCCTAAACCCTAAACCCTAGGTTTAGTGTCTAGGGCGGCTAGGGGTTTAGTGTTTAGGAGTTCCGGGTTGAGGGAAGGCTTTAAGTTTTAAGGCTGAACGCAAGGATACTGGCTATCGTTTCTGTACCCATAGGCCCCATAGTAGTTCCTTTTTGGGGATTACCTAACAGGATCCTAAATACAAACCACAAAAAGGAACTTCTATGATGGGTACAGGCCCATGCCGGGTAAATAGATCCCTTCGGTGCCGCTGCTTCGACATCAACGTCTGAAGCCTCGACCCTACCCAGCCAACAGACTGCAGCTTAAATGACTGTAGTCCCTTAAAACGCAATCACTCCATGAAACCGGAAAAGATCTCTCGTTCATGTTGCAATGTTAAATTGCCAACTTATGTATGTTAGCCGGTTTAACACCCTAAAGACCCTAAAGCCCTAAACCCCGAACCCGACAAAACTCCCAAACCCTCTAAGCCAGAGGCCAAACCCGCAAACCCCTAAACCCTAAAGGTTTCAACTACAACAACCCAACTCGGCAAAGCAGCCAACATCGAAAACCCCCCCACACCCGAAGCCCAAACCCAAAAACAGCAAAACAACAAACACGCAAGACATCTGAGGTGCAGCCAACCCAACAAAAAACATACTCGAACTCCATGACCCCGAACAAGCCTAAACATCCTGTGTATTCAAACAACCTCCCAAAGGTTTAGGGTTTAGGGGTCTGAACCCAAAACAAGATCCGACAATTCCTGGGAGGCTCAGCATCGCGGTCGGCACTCGGCGTATCCTCTGTGCGATGAGCAGTCAATCAAGTCGGGTCCTTCTGGCTAATAAGGGTATAGGGTGTTGTGGGTCTATCAACGTTGCATGCGGTCTGCGGGCTTAATATATGGTCCAGAGAACTGGCCCGCGTATTGTGATAGAGACTGTAAACTACACCGTAGGTGGATGTCAGTAATTATTGAATATTCAGACAGCTTTAACGCTTAAACGATGTAGGGCTTCGTGCTTGACGGATGTCAAGCTTTAGGGATTTAGGTTGTTGGCTTTAGAGATTGCTACAGTAGTGGCATAGCTTTGGTGCAAAAAGGTGGAGGGGTCGATCACAGTACAGGTTGAGGGTCTAGGGTTCGGGTTCGTCATCGCGCCTAGGCCTTACCAGATTGGGTGCAACAAGCAAGATCGAGTTTAGGGCTTTGGGAGTTTAGGGTCTATTCTAAGCCTTTGGGTTCTGAAGTTCGCCGGGATTTGCGGAGCCGGCAGAGCCTTAGGCACCCCCGACGAAGCTCTCATCAAGAAGCCCCCGACGCACATGTCGTTCTGCCCACCATGCTCAGTGTCGTTCTACTTGCTCACCAGGTGGGTGCAGCCCTAGTAGCCTAGTATAGTTCTAGCCCCTAAACCCTAAACCTCAAACCACTAAACCCTAAACTCCTAAACCCCTTAGCCCCCAAAACCCTAAACCCTAAACTCCGAAACCCCTAAGCAAACTTCTAAGCCCCAAAACCTAAACCCTAAACCCCAAAACCCTGAACGCAAAACCCAAAAACCTCGTCAGAATCTTGGTGGTTCTTCAGGCTTCCTTACTTGAACCCGGACTTGGAGAAGCTCGTCCTTCAAGTCGGTTCAGGGTTTGGGGTTTAGGGGTTTAGGGTGTAGGGTTTGGGTTTAGGGGTTGAGGGCTTAGGGGTTTAGGGCTTTTAGGGCTTTGGGGTTTAGGGGTTTAGGGTTTAGGGGTTTATGGCTTTTAGGGTTTAGGGTTTGGGTTGAAGGGTTTAGGGTTTAGGGTTTGGGCTTAGAGGTTTAGGGTTTAGGTTTAGGGGTCCTTCAAGGCATGGAGGAAAGCGAGCATTTCTTGGGACTTAGAAGAAATGATTCACACCGCCTCCAGGCCGCCTATACTCAAGGGTCCCCAAGGGTGCTAAGCTGAGGTAACACTCCGGATTTGCAGTGTGACCGCCAAATGTTGATTCTGGAGTTGCGTGCTCGTCGCGAATATCTCAGCATACCCTCGCAGAGTCCCGCAGGACTTGGACGAATTCCACATCGGTCAGCAGCCCAAATTTCATGAAAATTCTTGGCCCCCGACTCGGTCTACCACGTTTACTTCTAAGAGCCCTTCTGTAAGGGGTCTCATGTAGGGGCCTTAGTGATTAGAATGGGGTTTTGGGGTATACTATAAAATAACTATAAGAAGGAACACCAAAATAGCA